GGCAGCTTGCCCTCCCCTCCCCGCCAGAGAGGCAGGTAAGTCAGCAGAGTGTGTGCACAACACGTGGTTTTTATCAGTCCTAAGTTGAAGCGTTATTTTTTAAAACCCATGGCTTCAATTTAGGGCCCCTGTTTCATCTACGCATGCCCTAGAACTCTTAATTGGGTCCCTCTGTGTTTTTCTTAAATCTCTTGCTCATACACTGCAGTTTCAAACTGTAGGAGATGATCGGGCAAGTCTATTTTCAGCTCACCTTTTGTTAGTTTTGCATTGCCTACTAATGGTAGTTACAGTATAGGGTGAGAGGTGCCTTTCCCTTCCTTCCTTTCCTCCCTCATTGCTTCAGCTCTCCACACTCTGAAATAATCTTTACAGCATATGCTTCTCTTGCTATTACAAGAAGCTATGTACACAGGTAGAAACTGGATCTATTTAGGTTGCCATTAAGTGCTGCCTCTAAGCTGCTATGTAGACCTAAATAAATAAACCAAAAAATATTTTACCACCTTTTCTGGGAGGAACTGGTTCTTTTTCCTGCTTTTAGGGCGAATTTTGGGTTTTTGTTCCTGTGTGCTTTTTGTTTTTTTCCCTTGGGTTTCACTATCACACGGGAACCATTAAAAAATCAGGCACAGTCTTGTTCAAGGTGTCTGTCCCTGTATTTATTTTCCTTTTGTAGAATATCTTAGAGGGAGTTCTTAGATTTTTGTGTCTCCAGAGAACACCACTTTTGGCAGGATTATAGTTTCCGCTGAGCCAGCTATCCCTAGTATGCATGTGGAAGCTAAGCAGTTGGAATCCCAGAAGCTTCTTCACATGCACTGTAGATCTGAGCACCTGAATTTATTGATCTCTAGCTTCCAGCTTTAATAGGCTGGGTATAGGACTCAGACTCTGCATAGTGACACACAGAACTTAATCTTCCTCTCCAGCACTGGTTGTATTTTTTTTATCTTATCTTATCTTATTGGAATGGTTACTTGTCATTTTGCAGTACTGCACCTGCAGCATCAGCACTTAAACAGGCATCTGAACACCAAGATCTTTTACTCCTCCTTCTGTTTGCAGAATCTAGATATAGAAGCAGCACTTTTAAACCTGGAGATAATGGAGCCAGAGATCCCGCCAGATGCTGTTCAAGACAAAAACCTCTGTGGTCTCCCACCACTGGAGAATAGCAGCCTGGTGGGAGTCTTTGTAGAGCACATTGTTTCTCCTAGCCAGTTTTACATCCGTACCTGCAGCAAGGAAACATCAGAGATGTTGGAAGATACCATGATTGAGATGAGGTGAGAATGTGTTACATCAGCATGGCCTACTGTGTAAATTGTGTGCGTTTTCTTGCATGCTATGGTAGCTGAGGGACTGGTGCATCCAGGTTGCCTTTGTAGTTGGTAGCTTGATGTGCGTGTAGAATCCCAGCTTTGATCACCACTTGAAAATATAGACATACAAACATATGAGCATACTGTTTACTCATCCATCTATGACTGGCAAACAGGGACTATATGTAGTAGTAGTTAAGCGTGTACTAGGAGGCCCTTCATCCAACTTTAGAAGTATGAAAATAAAAGAAATAGAGGAGAAAATTGTGCATTCCTAGGCTCTTTGACATTGCCTACAGTACTGTTGATGATTTTTTCCAAGAAATGATTTTTCCCATCTCCATTCAGTACTAAAAAGCAGTTTGTGCCCTGATTTCATTATATATTGATATGTCTTGGTGTGCGTGTATATAGACATTTTTTTTCTTTTTACACACACCCCCCTTAACAGTGACCTCATGCTTTTATATTTGTGACCTCAGTGAATCAGGTTACTTGTTGCTGTTTCCATGCATCTGGGAAGTTATTTTACCTTACTGCTGCTGAGGTCATTGTTAATTTTATGGTAAACAGTAGTTCGATTATGTAATTGGGACATCTGTGACTTTTAGGTATAGTTACAAAATACTTTTTTGATGCACACTATAACTGAAATTCTCGGCACATGAGCAATATTGTTTCAAAGAATAATTTCCCGATGGTGTGAGATTTCTCGTAGAAAGAGGCAAAAGAAAGGTGAAACATCCAGTAAACAAATTACTTAACAGCATGACTTTTTTAAACACTCGTTCTTTTTGTGACAATCCAGATTTTTCTCCACCCAACCACTATGAAAAATTCAAGTGATACTCAAATTGGGATTCTATGTGTTGGTTTATGTTGATTCACTGAGATTTCAAGGGGATAAAGAATCAAAGCTCTTGTTAAAACTGAACTCTGTAATATACTCAAATTGAATGCAGCTGTTGATCCACCATCACTAACTGCAGTTTTTAAAAAGAAAGTTACATCCCTATACATGTAGTTCTTTTTGTATTATTTTTACTCTTAGTCTTTGTGTTTGGCTATGTGTCCATTAGTCAGTGTTTAAAGTCTATTGCACTGAGTAGTCACGTCATATAAAAATGATATGGAAGGATTAGTCCCCTTTCTCTGTGAAGGAAGATATTTGTTCTTATATTAATTGTACAAGGTCTTCTTAGCTGTTTACAGTGAGTCTCCTGACAGGTCATATTAAGGATTTTTTAAGGGTAGATTTTTTTTTTTAAGGAAGACAAGAATGCTCAGGGTGTTTCTCAAGCAGCCACATAATTCTCTTTATCCTGCTTCCTACTCAGCATGACCTGTTTTATCTGTCTTGCAGGAGATGCTATTCAAATAAAACCGTTTCTAATCGTTATGTCATGCCTGAGGCCTTGATCCAGCCTGGTTGTCTTTGCTGTGTAAGGATTTCAGAGGACAAATGGTGGTACCGTGTCATCGTCCATCGGGTACTCAGTGAACAGGAAGTGGAAGTGTTTTACCCAGACTTTGGTAACCTGGGCACTGTCCAGAAGTCCTGGTTGAGATTCCTCAAGTATGTTAATTGCACATGAGGTTTTGTGGTTAGGTTTTGCCAGATCTTTCTTTCTCTTCTAGATTTTATCCCAGTTTCACTTGCTTTGGGGCAAGGTGTGTAATCTGTATATTCCACAAAGCATTCTAGACCTGCTATTATTTAGAGATGTCAGCTGTTCTGGGGTGCTTGTGCAGTACCCGGAGTCTTTATTTCCCCTTCCCTTCCTCCCCTTCCTCAGTTCGAGGGCTGCCTCTCTTGTTGTCTCTTCATTTTCCTCTTCTGCCTTTCTTCAAGGGGGCTTTGGCATGGATTGAACCAATAATCTTCCCTGTCTTTGGCTCAGTAGCCAGTATGTAAAGATGAGATGCATGTGGATGGGGAAGATGTGTAGAAACTCTCTGCGTTGTACTTGCTCTGTGGATGCAGGCTGTTGTATTAAAGATTTTCTTCACTGATACCGATAGCCGATTAGTCACCAGGCATATTGGCTGATATTGATCCAATAACTGATTTACAGGAGCACAGCCAGGCAGTGTGGAGAGCAGCTCCCTGCAGGTAAGTCTGTGGAGGAGAACGGGCAAGGGTGGGGGAAAGAAGGAGTATGGAGGGGAGGTACAGATCAAGGCTTCCATGGTGAGGGGGAGGGATAGGGGCAAGGTGCACTGCCCAGCCAGGATGGTGAATGGGTTGCTGGGGTGTGGAGTGGGATGGAATTATAGGCGGCTTGTCCAGGGGATCAGCGTCCTGGTACTTAAAGATGGCATCTGGGGTGCTTGAACTGGGGACTACACTGTTCAACATCTTCATCAGCGACTTGGACAAGGG